TGAAATATACTGCGCTGTTTAATTGCGCAGTTATCTTCAAACATTTATTTAACTGCCTTACTGATTGCATTTTTAGCTGAGATTTGGTATGGGTAAACTAGACTTAACGAAGAAGATGCTAAAAACAATTCATCAAAAAATTCCACCGGGACCCACCCCAAATGGTGACGGTCAGACAGAGCCTCATATGAAAGGGTGATTTGCACTTTTTCGGTTAGTTCGAGGGCTTATTTGCCCCTTTTCCCAAGATATGAACATAATTGAAATTAATTTAGTTGCTCATAAGATAAAAAAAAATGATCAAAAATGGATTTTTTTGCTAATGATCCACAATAGACTACAAATATAGAATGCAATAATATGATTAAGGATATATAAGAACCTTAAACTCAAAGAAGTTTTGAATAGGGATGTAGTAATAATTAGTACTAAGAAGTATAGATGAGCTTAAAGTAATTGTCCCGGAGTAAAACACATACTCACAGGGCCGGTCCTGACAATTTATAGGCTTAGGCAGTGGCGGAACCAGAAATAATTTTTAGGGGTGCTGAGATTTTCCGAGGATTATGTAACAAATATATTCACTCTTTAAATATAAAGTTCATTTAATAACACAAAATTGGCTTAAGCGGATGTAATTACTGAAATTGTTACTGAAGTGGTTGAGTTAATTGATTTTACATGACAGCGATTGCATATCTCCCTGCGGGTTAGTAGGATATAACAACCTAATTATAAATGCTAATTTCTGCATTTATCAGAACTTTGTATGTATATATTCCATGGTTTGGGCATAAGAAATATTGTATGACCGATTACTAATACCCAATACCACAAACAAATCTTAGTGCCAAATATTTTTAAAAAGTTTGCCAAGTTATTTAAATTAACTCATAAAAATATTAATATTTGCATCACAATATAATACGAACTACACTTTACACACCGGTGGAGTCTTTTAATTCTTTATAATCCACTTTACACTTTGGTGGAGTCTTTTAATATAAGAATGTATTACAAAAGTTTCATTGTCAAAAATAAAATTCGTTACACAAGTAAATGTTTTTGTTCATAGAACTACTTGGTATCATAAGTCATACATAACAATTTTTTAGGCATTCTTAAAAGCAAAATTGCCAATAATACTATCATTTTTAATGGGAAAACTGTCAAATAGGTCCTCGAACTTTCATAAAAAACTCAATTAAGTCCTTCTATAGGAGACTCTGTCCGGTCGTCACGGTTTGGGGTAGTTCCCGGTGGAATTTTTTGATGAAATTTTTTGAGCATCTTATTCTCGGCTTCGGCGAGGAAGGTAGAAAGTCATCCAACTGTGTTTCGTGTGTAGCTCTGCCGTTGTGACTCAGTCTATGGATATGAGGATTGAGGGATATCTTTTACGGAGTATTAGAATAAAGGAAAATGATCTGGTCAGGTGCACCTGTAAAGATGTCCCGTACAGATAAGGCCATTTGAGAAACTTCCCGATCGATTTTTTTGACAAACTTTTGTGAGAATGTTCTTCGTCATAAAGATTATACGTAGTATTATTTACACAAAATTTCAGTTTTGAATTCAATTGTGAAGTTAGTGAAATAAATTATTGAAAAATACCTCGCTTTTTTAGCATATATAAATAAAGCACACCGTTTTTCAATAATTTATCTAAAAGACTTTCCAATTGAATTTTAAGTTGAAATTTTGTGAAAGTAATCACCACTTGATGAAAAACATGCTCATCAACTTTCAACAAACAGTTTCATCCGAAATCACCTCAAATGAGCTTAGCCGTACAGAATCCCGAGCAAGCGTGCCCGAGGTGAACGGGACAATATATATATATATATATATATATACTAAAAAATTTATTGTCCCCTCTTCTTGATGGGCCCTGGGCAGCCGCCCGCCCAGCTTGCCCCTATATCAGGACCAGCCTTGCATACCCCATTTCCCTAAGAAGGAGTTCAAGCTAAATCTTCCATAGGACCAAACTTTTAATTTTCTACTCTTAATACCTTTATTATTTAATACTTCCTCCCTCCCTTATAACTTTGCCAACTTTCCTTTTTTGGTTGTCCCAAAAGCTTTGCCACTTTCTCTTTTAATCAATCAATTTGTGGTTCCTGTTACTTCTCTCTCCTCTGCACAAATCTCTACCACACAGTTTTTACTTTATTATTCTACGTGTCGGTCAAATTTGGCAATCCTTTTAAGGATGGAGGGAGTATAATTAATTGCCCTCTAGTTCCCTTGCATAACTGTGTCACTCTATTGGCGGCGGAGCAATCCAGCAGCGGCGGTGTCAAACAGGTAGATAAAGCTTTCTGAATTTTTTTGGCATATCCTAGTGGCAGAAGATCGGATCTGGAAATTTGAGGCGCATTCTAGCGACCTACAGCGATGACTCCAACATGGTTATTTTGTGGTATGATAACATGCATCACTGCTCATCTGCCAAAGAGGAAGTAACATGTTCGAATTGTATCACAATAAAAAAATGTTAACATTATTATGAGCAAATACTATAATAAATTTAGAAGATAATTTCCAAATAAAGAAAACGTCGTATAAGTTTAGTTTAGTCGAATTGAAACATTATTCCAATTGGGATGAAGAGTGCACACATCGTAAATCCGGATTTGGTAAGTTGACTTTATGTGAAATTATTCCACCAACTATCTAATCTGGATGGAATTTACATATCATACTTAACATCTAGATTTCATCAATATGGTTGGCCCCTTGGTAGGGATTCTTCTCATTAAGTTAGCTCCACGCCTCTGGCCATCCACTACACCAAAAAAGTGTTACGTAGTACCTCGTTTGGAGAGGCTCCACGCCACCCGCACGAGTATCTCAGTTGATTTAGTGGTGAGAAATTTGGAATAATGACTAAGGTTCGAAACTCACAGCGGTCGTGTGAATGTTACAGCTCCACTCCTGTGTGCTGGGCTGGACCTCTGGTGCACACGGGTAAAATGCTTATCATCATTCGGCCGACTGAGTCACCGTGACTTATTACATCCTCTCAAAAATCCTGTCGGGTCGGGGTGTGGGGGCTCGTCAGATGTGAGATTCCACCTTTTGGGAACAATGGAGAGGCTCCACACCATGATTTGGACAAGCTACATACTAGCACTTTCTTCCTAAAAAAAGGATGACACCCCATCCTTGAGGCCCCCAACCCCGACCAGACAATACGTTGGGAGGATGTAAATTGGACTATAATCCCAATCTGATAGATAGAGAGTGAGGCTCTGTCCCCGGTACTTGCAGATGTCATATGCATTTTTAGCATAGTAACTCATCATCGCAGTTGACGGGATTCGAACCCGGGACCTAATCCTTGTGGCACTCCCTTGCTACCAGTTGAGCTACGCCCACCGGTTTCTTCCTATATTAGATGTCATGTTTTGCTTTGACAATTATTAATATGAAATACGGAGTAAAATGATTGAAAAGTACAAAAAAAACCGTTGAAGTTTGAGTATAATAAAGTGACATGTTATGCATCACATATTTTTTGACAAAATGAAAATATAACATTCATTTTGGAACAATTCAAAAATGAGACGGAAGAAGTAACGGGACGGACATCTTTTAATTAAACTAAAAAACACGGTCAATTTGAAGAATAATTTGTTGATTTTAAGTTGAAAGGAACAATTCTTTTGAATTATTTTTAAAAATATACGTAAAATGTAATTCCCTTTTCTTAAATAAGTGACACTTTGTTTTTAGAAGTTTTTACTATTTAACTCAAGACCATTTCCATATGTGAAAACTTTAACACCATCTCTTTATATTCTTTTTCCTTTTTCTTTTTCTTTCATATTTTTCTAATTTTCTTTGCTTTGCTACCTTCTCTCCCTCTCCATTACACTTTTGTTGTCCTTATTATTATTTTCACTTATTTAAGTAAAATAACAATAAAAAATGATATGTATATTACTAATTAGGGATGGATCGGTTCCGGTTTGCCAGGCCCGGCCCGGAAACCAGACCGGCCCGCCACTGTGCGGGACCAGCCCAACCCGGTTGCCAAGGACCGGGACCGGTCCGGCCCGGTTGCCAGGGACCGGGACCGGGCCTGCGACCCGACCCGGGGGTGTTTTGGGGGCGGGCTCGGGCTGCAGGTTTCTTTGGAACTGGCCCGGTCGATCCGAGACCGGTCCGTGCCAATTTTTTTTCTTTTCAAAGTCTTTGGGTGGTAGGTGGGTTGGATTGAGTGTTTTGGAGGGGTTTGGGGTGTGGGGATGGGAGGGTACGAATTAATTAGAAAAGAAAAAAAAACGCTACCCGACCCAACCCGGTCTGGACTGGTAGAATCCTGGGCCGGTTCTGGGCCTTGAGCCCCAATACAAAAGCCCGGTTTGGACCGGCCCGGAGTCACGCCCGGCCCGGAACCGGTCCCGGAACCGGTCCATGCCTATTAGTAATAGAGTTTTCTTGAATAACAATATGATTAGTTACGTTTTTAAACAAAAATATGACTACTTACTGTGTATAAGTAACTAGACAAGAGTCACTATAATATAATTCAAAATGACATTGATAGATGATGAGTTTTTGGGAACTACTCAGTAATCACTAAATATGTCACTTTTTTGATTTTTTTTTTAAATAAGTCATACTTTTATCTTTTATCTTTTGATTAAATTTAGTAATATCGATAGAAAAGTGCCAAATAACCAGCATGCCACTTATTTAGGAGCCGAGATAGTATATACTGCCGTTACTGCGTAGTATATTTTAATAATTTAAAAGATGAGGGAATATCTTATACATTTTCATTTCAATAATGTCATGAACAACAAAACCTCATGCACTAGTTTTTATTTTATTTTATTTCATCCGACATTCTCATCAAACTCACTCAAATGCTATAAAAGTTGGGTACTAGCAAGTAGCAAACTCAGATTTCAACATTCACATCTTATGATAGTGAGGCTAAAAAGTACTCCATTGCTACCCCACCAAAAGTAGCAATGCTGCCCACTCTGGAATCCAACAGACCATGAATTGAAGTCTAGGCACTTTCATAAACATCAACATCTTTCACATCAATACAAGCTCAAGGGGAACATCTACTACACACAATCATAACAAATAGTACAAACAACAACACTGGCAAACATGATAAGTGTCTGCTTGTAATATGTACAACATTATTCAAAACCACAATTTTTTTCTTTTTTTCTTGAGAAAAAACATTACATAAAAAACTCATAACATCCGATTGAACATGTATGTGCCAGCCTGTGCATCATCAGCAATCTGAAGTGACGAAAATCCAGTCATATCCCAATTTCCATAGTCTGTAAACTCCGGGTGGGCATAATTGTTCCAAGCTGATCCATAATATTGGTCGCTGGAAGAGATCCAGTTAGGTCCTTCATCGAATGAAGAATATCTGGAGTGGTGATATTCAAGAGGGAATCCTGATCTGCTTCCAACTATGCTGAAATTTTCGACATCCTTTGGCATGATTACCTCATTTGAATCCTCTAAGACATGAAGGGCAACTGCTTCAGCTATTGCAGCACCTTCTTCTTCATCAAGCCGTTCTTGTTCTTCCTTCTTCTTCTGCTTTTTCTTTTCCAGTTCAAGACGAATAGCTGCGGATGTGGCTAATGCCTTCTCCAAACGTCTCTTCTTCTTCTCGGCCTGTTTCATCCGGTCCAACTCATCCTTCACTTGCTTCTTCTTCGCTTTTCTACCATCAAACGGTGCTTTGCCACCGCACTCCATAGAGAGATTCTAAAGTTCTAAGACTAATTCACTCTCTTCCTTGCTAAATTCCTAACGCGTATACACCTAATTTCCTTCTATAACTTTCATCATCATATAATAATATCTAATGTGCTTGGAATACAACTATTGTATTAGAAGAAAAAGAGAGGAACAAACACTTGGGACATATGCAAGGCTACACCCACTCAGGTCTGAATGAGTACCTCATCTTGCGCACAATACAATCCCAAACAGACACAACAGGAGATTGAAGTAGAGATATTTGATATGGGCCCACATTCATGTCCCTGGCCATTCTTCCCAATTTCCCACAACCTTTGCATTTACTCATGTCACAATAAGTCCCCAAATTTACCTTAGTAAATAACCCAAGCGCTTTTGTTTTGTTCAAACAACTCACATGGCCTTCTGTTCTGCAAAGTTAAACAAACATTATGATGGCTCAAAAAACAAAGAAAAGGCTCACGTAATGAAGAATTAACTAGACAACATATGCTTTACATAATGGCATATACACTTTAGTGAATTGGTGTAGAAAAAGATCCTTGCTGGAAAAGTAAATTTGAGCATTGTGATGGGAAAGTGCTTTTTACTGCGCAATTCTCAAAATGCAAAAGTCATATTGCACTGACTTCTGCCTTACAGCCTCTTTTGACGTTTCAAATCAACTTTGGAAAAAAAACTATAATTTGGTTGGGAATGCGTTGGGACAAGAATGAGAATTTTCTGCCACAAGCGCAACCCCAAATGGGACCTCAAGAGCACAAAAAGGCAAAGATGCCTCCAATGCCAAAAAAACTCAAGAACTCAGGGGGGAAATCATACCAGTAAAGCAGCATCTAGATCTCATCAATTAAAAGCCTAGTGATGTCTTAATCCAATGCATTTTAAGTCACCCACACTCCCAAAAATGATAGATGCATAACAAAAAATGCTACTCTGTATTGGTTAACCCCTACTCTACACATGCATACTGTTTCACCAAATCAATCACTTTTTTCTCTATTGAAAGAGCCCCAATTTCAATACCAGTGACCAAATACCCATTTATTCATATTCCAAATCACCGAATCCGATCCGCTTCACATCCGATTTGACAAATCTTCAGCAATCATAAACACGCACACAAAACAAATTTTACTGAAATAACGACAGAAAAAACCCAGATCGAAACGGTTAGAGCCAGATCACATAGAGGAATGCAAATAATAAACCCAGAAATTACCGAGTAACTGGAAAGAAAGTGTGAATCAAGTGGGAAAAAATACAGAGAGAAAGACAGGTAGATAACCTGATCCAGAAAGAGGAAAGAGAGAAGAAGACCTTCCCGATAAGCAAAGCTAATGAGTTGGGTTAAACAGATGAAGATATGGTGACAGATTTATGTGATTGTTGGTGTTTGGATTTGAATAAAATACTAATTGAATCCCTAAAAATGGAATAAGAGCCGGGATCAAAGGCACACGAAAAAAGAGACCATTAACTGATGATCACATGGAAGTGCCGGTAAGTAGAAGAAGGAAAGGGTACAAATGGAAATTGACGGATGATGGACGACAATTAGACACTGGGCCAGTTGACGTGTTTTTCCAACATAATACTCCCTCCGTTCCTAAAAATTCTTCCCGGTTTGACTTGACACGTTTATTAAGAAAGTGGAAATGTATGGTTGTGGTTGTGTAAGAAAAAAGTAAAATGAATGTGAGCCACACAAATTGTCCAAAATGGGAAAGTGGGAAGTATTTTTGAGAACAACCCAAAAAGGAAAGTGAGAAGTATTTTTTGGAACGGAGGGAGTAATGTGTTTAATGCACCAAACCCTCTCGTGAAATATAAATTCGGTGCATTAGTTTCTTGTGATTTAAAAAATGCGCCAAATCCCTATGTGTTATCATTAATCATGCGTCAAACCCCTTCCAAGAACAAATTTAATTTCAAAAAATATGAAAAATGATTAGTTTTCTTGTATAATTTAGAAATTTTGACAAAGTTACTTGCATATTCAACCATATTATTAAAAAAAGTGATTTCAAAATTGTAAAATTTGTTCTTGAAGAGGATTTTGCGTCACACAGGGGGGTTTGACGTATTTTTTAAATCACATGAGGCTAATGCGCCAGATTTATATTTCACGAGGGGGTTTGGTACATTTAACAAAAAAGCTTAGGTGACAACTCCGGTACCCATTTAAAAAATGGGGTACCGTACTTGCCATTCACTTGATTGGTTCAAATCATTACATCATTTTTTATTTAGATTTAAATAATTCAACTACATCATTCTGATAGGTCCATGTGAAGGTACGGTACCTTTAAGGTACCATAAAATCTACCAAAAGCTTAAGTGTGGTAATATGTCAAGACCAAATCTCAAGGACGAGACTCGGCAAATTTTAAGGGGTTAATGATGTTTTTTAATGAAATTGGCTTAAATTATGATAACAGAATTTAAGCAGGTTACAAAATAACAACAAGCCTTATGTTTGTCGTACGCCCTAGAACCTGACTTAAAAATCAATCGCCTCCGTAAAAGCAATGTGATTCGCTAATCTCGCTATGGGCTTAACTGAGTCAATGATAGGCAAATTAGACCTTTCATTACTTGTCCTAGGTTCTAGAGTTTTTTTGCCGGAAAAACACAGCACAACCAAAACAAAGTAAAGATCCAAAATTAAACGAAACATGAAGAAAACTAAATAAGCAAAATAAATTTCTTGAACCCTAGCACCTCGTTCAACCCTTGCGGTGGTTCAGGAAGAGGCCGGACCTACGATCGCTATGATTGTTGGACAAGACACGACTCCAAACCCTAGCGCAGAAGACTCTGCTCCCGTCCGTTGCACAAGTCCCTCGGCGGTTGGTTTCCTGACGAGCAATCTTCATTTGCACCACCGTTATGGCTAAAGCGGCTGAATGAGCCGAATCGACCACCGGAAAAGTCCCTCGATGTGTTCCTCTGAATTGGAGATTCCATCATCTATCATCGAGCACCAATTTGTCCATCTCGGACTGAATTTTCAAATTATCATATTGGCCAATCAATTGTTCCATCCGCTTGATGGCGCCATTTCTTTGTTGTTGAGCGGCTGCATCATCCCTCATGTCCCTGCAGCCATACTCCCGTCCGCATCCATGGAGTCAATTACTCGTTAATTGAAGAAAAAGAAGCCGCACAAAATTGGCCGAGAGAAAACCCTACTAGAGGGACGTACGCGGTCTCCCTTCCACTGAGTTATACTTGCAGTTAATGATGTTTAATTAATGATGTTTTAGGGTTTTTCCGATTGAATTCTTCTTGTTTAAAGTAGAAGCAGAATTAGTTTTTCAGAAGTTGATCTCCCTAAATTTCTAAAAAAATAATTTCTAGGAGTAATTTGAGTACCCATAAGTACTTCTGCACTTTCACTCAAACATGAAACAATTCAATATCTACTTTTGCTCCCTGAAAAAGCAGTAGTTTTAAGAAGTAGATCCAAACAAATTTTGCATAGACAAAATCAGACATATTTTGTTTGTGCACCGGATTCACAATTAAAAAAAGTCTTCACATATATGGTGGGTATAAGGTGGGTATAAGGATGGGTATAATAAGAATGTGTTTGAAAAGTGAATTTTGTGTTTGATATTTGATTGATGAAGTAAAGATAAAGTAATACCTTAGTAGTTATTTATAATTACACAAAGTTTACTTCAAGAATAATCTTAGTGGAATGAACCGAAAAAAAGACACAATCTTGATGAGACAGAGGGAGTAATTGCTAATTCAAAACTCAAAATGACTCACAATGCATGTTTGGTAGGCATAAGCCTATACCTAGCTTATGGTTTCTATACTACTATTTAAAAAGTCAATAAAAACTTCTAATTGTATGTTTGGTATGAAATTTTTTAAGAGTTTTTCTAAAATAAAAAATCTTTTTTTGAGATGCTACATGGAGTAGAATCTAAGAAAAGCATGTAGCTTTTAGCACTAAATTTCACTAATTAATTCCAACAGCTTGTTTACCAAACAAAGCTAAATAAAACAGTCAGTTTTTCATCAAGCTGTTACCGCCATTTTTTTTTAAAATCTTTTCAGTCACTAAAAGCTAACTGTTATTAAAAAGATCATAAAGTTTTTTTTCAACAAATTGTGTCAAACATAGCCATAAAGTAATACGGAGTATGAAATATGTAACATATGTCCGGTCATAAATTTTTAGTTTTCAATTAATATGTTATATTTAAAACTATAAAATTATAAATATAAAATAATGTTATTATAACATACTTTTATTTGTATAAGTCCATGATAACCAAAACCATTTGGAAGCCCCGTTTTATACAAAATTTAGGTCCTACAATATATATGAAAATAAATTTGGAAGGTTGATAAGTTCATATTACAACACACATTTGATGCGTGTTGGGATCGGCTTTTGATGGTTTTCCTAGCTTTAAGGTGTCATAAGTCACAATTTTAGTTCAAGTTATGTTTACCGGGCGTTGGTTCGAGTTTTGTGTTATTTGAAATCAAAAATCAGGAAATTAGTGTCTGACACGGGCACTTGAGTAGCAATCGGGATGAGTTGATGATGCATTCGAGAGAGAATTGAGAGATTTGGAGGTCACCAGGAGGTTCACGATGAAGATTTGAAGATAAAAGAGCTCTAGGATTGGCTACGGGATCAAAAGAAGACAAATAGAGCTTAAAAACGGCGATCAGGATGACCTTCTGTCAATCATTCAAGCATACCAACTTCAATGTGTACAAATCATATGAAAATACCATTGCGAAAATCTGAGAGGAGAAAGCTGAAAACAGATGATGAATTCAGATGATCGCTGCTGCGATTTCAGGATGCAACACCCCACCATTTTATACATATCTTTTGATTGGATGATTCAAATCCAGTTTTGCAAGTTGTGGTGGATAGAGAACTTGATTATCTACAACTTTCACAAAGGAAGCATCGTCAAATTCGGAAGATAAGGGAACGCACGGTCGTGCCCAGAATTAGGCATGCCTTGCGTGCTGAAGGATTAGCGAGGGAGCTACTGCCACCTAGGCACGGTCATGCCTTCCAGAGAGGCACGCCGTGCCTGGCAGTTTTTCACCCCCAGGTGTCCTATTTCGACCCGGATTGATCTGTTTTCTATTTAAACACCCCGTAAACCCTTATTTTTTGTTACAGAGCTTAGAGAGAGGCCTAGGGATGATATTTCATCTATTTTTCCGCCTTGTTCTTCAATTCCCCTGGACTGTTTGTAAGTTCCTATTTTTTTAATTAATGACAATTAATTCTGTTCATCCCAATTCTATCGATTCTTCAATTATAAATTGTGAGTAGTTTTAATTAGGGATTTGGGATTGATGAAGGGGTTAATTATGATGTATGGCTAAATTCATGATGGATTAATTACATGAATGTGTTTAATCTCTTGTAACCTAGAACCGCGGCTAGAATTACAATTGCTTGTAGAATAAATTAAGAGAGATCTAATTTATTATAGGAGACCTTCACACACACTTGATCGTTCGATAAGAGATTAGTAGCAATTAAGGGGCCGTACGCTCGCTCATTTTGGTAATAATTTTAGGATCCTGTTGCATGAGAGATCAGTCTGATCCCCTAAATTTAGTAATGATTAGCGAAGCTCAATTAAATTGATTTCATGTAATTAAGGCTGATCAACCAAAAATCTGATTATCCCAGAATCAATCCCTGTTCTCTATCATCATTAATTAGAAGGAATCCATTAGTTTAATTTCTTTATTCGCAATTTAATTTTCCCAATCAATCAAATCTCGCACATCGCATTTATTTTTATTTAGTTTTATCGCTGAATTTAGTTAATTCTTAATTCCCTTTTGTCCGTCCCTGTGGAGACGATACTCGTACTTACACCCTATACTCCGATCTATTTGTATGTGCGAGAAAACTCACATCAGTTTTTGGCGCCGTTGACGGGGACGGTGTCAGTCTTGAGGGTTAAATTAACTCAGCGATTTGGATTTAGTTTTTCGTAGGATTCTGTTTATGCATACACGTTCTAAGAGGGGAGAACCGCTAATCCCTCTTACTCTTGAGATTGAAAAGCTCGTTAGACAGAACCGCAAGGCTCAAAGAGAGAAGAAAATTACCATGGGCCATCAGTCTTCATCTGGAACCGCAGGGACGTCTGGTATCCCTAACACTACTTCTCAACCAGATTTTTACATCAACACATCATCCCAGTCTTCACCACCTATTTCACCTAGACGCCCTCCAGGTTTGCAGAACTACCGCACCCCATTCTTTCCCCAAAATCAGCCCACACCACAATTTAACCTCCCTCCATTATTCCAACTTTTTCAAAATACTTTTATGCTCCTGAAACTACTTTTTAGAACCAAGCTTATGGGATGAAAGGAGTAGGGCAGAACATCCCCGTCTATCAGCCGAGACTGAACCCACCCCCATTAGCTCAAAATCCATTCTAAAACCAGCCACAATACCAAAATCCTTATCCGAATCAGTACTGTAAT